AGAAAGAAAGAAAGAAAGAAAGAAAGAAAGAAAGAAAGAAAGAAAAAGAAAAAAGGCTCCTGGGAAAGAAAGGCTTCCGGGGTAAACAGGGTTGAACTAGTAGACCTAAGGGTTCCAGGTAAAGGGGAACAATGGGGTCACCAACGCCTGTTCCTCAGTGGGTCATTTGTGTCCACAGAGCAGGCTGGCAGGCTGAGGGTGGAACACATGCGGTTCTACCAGAAAGCTGCAGCCAACATTAAGGCCAAGTGGTCACTGGAGATTGCTGGAAACCGAAAGCAGGCTGCAAAGACCAGACCCTGTGAGGTCTAGAGAAGATCTGGGGGAAGAGTGCTTAAAGGGGCTGGCAAAAAAGAACAGCTGGTAGCACATGAGTGAAGAAAAAGCCCCTTTGTTCTCTTATTCCACACCTAGATATCCTCACCCTCATCAGAGATCTTAAAATAGATATATGAGCCATGTTCCAACACATGAGGGCTCAAAAAACTTTAGCTTATCAGGTTATTCTCTACAGCAGGCAAGGGGGCCCCTTCATGCTGGTAATAACCATCCAGAAAGCTGCCAGAAGGCTTTGACCTCACTTAGGGAAGGGTCTGTTCGTTGATTGGCTCTTCACGAAGTAGCCAAAGGAGAGAAGGTACAAAAGGTCACTGCCTCTGTGGCCTGGAAGAACCTTACCCGTGAACTGAAAGGGGATTTGAGGACGTAAAGGGGGAAACATAGTGTGGGAAGACACAAGGGAAAGTGTCTAGATACTATTTTTCTCTTAAATCTGTCCTCATATTGTGCCCCCGGTAGAATTTAGCCTTTGAAGTCTTTGAGAAAACTGGATTTAAGCAGCAGCCAGATGACCAAGAATGAGTCTTCCATCTGGTATAAGACTCAGATCTTAAGCCAAAATAGATTTTGGAAGAGCAGTTGGAAAAGCAGGACACTTGTGTCCTATACTAAGAATATTGCTCCAATGTCAGGGAGTTAACTGTTGCTTGAGATGTACAGAATATATCCGACTAAACTGCTCTGCCCTCTGGACAAGGACAACAGTGGTAAGTGAGGGGGTGGTGAGTTAACTTTTCTTCTTATTGTAGGAGAATCTTTTTTTAAAAACAACACAAGGCCTTGCTATGTAGTTTAGGCTGGCTTTAAACCTGACATGATCCTCCTGCCTCAGCCTTCTGAGTACTGGGACTACAGGCATGTGCTACCACACCCAGCAAGAACAGTTTTGTAATGGAGATAGCAGGCTCAGTGAGAAGGATCCTGTCCCTTGCCTATACCTAGGAAATCAGGGGCTCACAGTCATCATTCCTAAGTGCATGAGTGGCATCTGACTCACCAAGGCAGTAAACAGCAGTGTGGACTCTTCAGTACTAACTTCTAGCCCTAAGCCACTTCCCTTACGAAATGTCTCTGGAGGGAGATTTCACCACTAGAAGGAGGGCAAACTTAAGAGAAAAGGCCAACAAGAAGAGCTTGAACTTTGGCTCTATAAGTAAAGGGGAACAGATTTCACTTGAGCCAAGAGCAAATAGGTTAAGAATGGAAGCAAGAATGGCATTGTTTCTGGGGAAGGAAAGGAGTAGCTTAAGAGTAGGGCACCCTGACTAATTATCCCGGGGATGCAGGAGCAGGCTATGTTCAGCCAACCCTATCCCCCTGTACTATCACTTAGCTGACAACTTTGGCCAACCCCATTCGCCTTTACTATCACGGGTAACCCAGCCAGAGGCACAGGCAAGCCACTGGGCATTGCAATGGCTTTACTCAGGAGAAAAGGCATCTGGATTAGAACTGTCACAAGGAAGGGAAAACCCCAAACAGGGCCAAGGATCCCCACCAGGGAAGATACCAACAGCTCTCACAAGAACTGCTGTTTCTTTATAAGAGAAGAGGCAGCTGTGTGTGACAATGTAGGTGGGTAACAGCCTTTGAAACCGTATTTGGGAATGCAGACTACTTTCTAGGTTTCCTGAAATAAGTGGATGCTCAGCAGGACGGACTAGCTAGGCAGATTTTACTAGGCCCTGAGGCCATCCTTGCCCCCTTCATATATAGAAACAATAGACCCTGGTGGTTGATCTGCTTAAAGGATGTAGAGCTTGGGGTTGGTCCCAGGTCTTGGCCTAGGACCAAGCTCAGCCCTTCTGAGAGGGGGAGCTTCCATGTATCTTTTTGGTCTTCCTCACAGTATCCTACTCACAAAAATTATAGACAGTTCCTCCTCTTAAGACCAATTAAGATTACCCTACCTACTATATAGAATATAAAAAAATACAGAACGTTTTGACATTCTCTCCTTTGGAAGTAAAATATACATGATCCAACTATGGAAGAGGAAGAAAGGCCAAAGGCAGGGATCCTTGACTATCCCAATACTGGGCAGTCTCACTTCAACTTCCTCTGCAACTTACAGGTCACCAGAGCAAGAACTTTCTCCTCAGAAGAAAGGTGGGATCACAGCCCCCTGTCTTAAGCTTAGGAGAAAATACAGTCACCTCAGAGGTTCATTAACTCTGAGGGCAATTTTCAAGTAAAAAATGAAATTGGGTTGCACCATTTGGAAGGTGGGTAGGAAACATGGGGTCAGTAGCTACACATAAGAAGCCCTATCTGAAAGCCTGTACTCCTCCCCTCCACTCCCACTGGTGTACTTGGCCCAGGAGAATGAGGGTGTATCCCGAATTCAAGAGGTCTGGGAAAAGGGTGAGAGAGAAGGGGCCTTTGTCTCATGGTGGCCTCCCCGTCAGCCCCTAGTCCCAGACAGTGCTGGCAGCTGGGATTCCTAAAACCAGAAACTCACAGCTCTTGGGAAGAGTAACCTTAATATACAAGAAAAATGTGCAAAAGAAAAAAAATTAAATAACTCAATCCAAGCATACAAGATTAATATTCCGTCAGAGCAAGAACACTTTGTTTTGGATTTCTCCCCTCCACTCCCCTCCCACGTCTGGAATATTCCATCTGCTCACGTACCCAAAATAAGAGTTACATTAATCAGGGCAGAGGACTGGGAAGGATGAAGGGAAATAAAAGAAAGGAAGTCGCCATTAAAGAAAAACAAAACAGAAAAGAAAGGTGCAAAATGATTACCTCAGTCCTCCTTTGTCTATCCCTAGGCTCCCGGGTTAAAGACACGTGTGCAGCCAGAATATAGTGTAAGGAAGAAAACCGTAACATGTCCCCTTTTGTCACAAAACCCAAATGTGAGCCTCAGATGGTTCTGTCTGTCCAGAGGGCCTCCCTCCAGGGAAGGGGGCGGAGCAGGTCCGGAGCACAGTCTCCAGGGCAGCAGGTGATGGTGGGGGCCGGCTTCCTGCCCACCAGAGGGCTGCTCTACCACTGGCTGGTGGTGCTTCCCATCCCCTCCCCTCCCCGGAGGCAGACATTATAGCTGGAAGCCCTCCATGGGGGCCTCAGGCTGCTGGAAGATGAACTGTTGCTGTGCTTCATCTACTTGAGGAGCAAGGCTGCCATCATCATCTTCTACACCAAAGTAGTGCTCAATGAGGTCGAAGGCCTTCTGGTAGATCTCCTGGTTCTCATGGCTCTGAAGAAACTCGATTTTATCCAAGCCTACAGTGGCAAGAAAGAAGGAGGCAGAATGAAGCATGTGTGAGTACTTTTCTATGGGCCCATGAAACATTTATGCACTTTTCCTTGCCGGAGGTATGTTTGTGTTTACAAGCACTAGAAGTAAGATCAGAGCAATCTCTGATGTGAAAGAGGAAAGTCACAGACTCTTCCTCAAAATACAAAATCTCAAAAGAAAAAGACCAATGTGTCAGTTATACAGAGGATTCACACCTCATTCTGCTTTAAACTAGACAGGAGCAAATCACTATTTACCTCTCAGAGATGGTGGTGACTCAATCCATCACTCTTCTGGGAACTTGCTAGAGACTCTGCTGGAAACACGCCTGCTAACTTGTGATACTATTACCAGTTTGGGATCTTTGTGTGTGCATTTGTATCACACCTCCTTATTAGGTACAGCCTATCAGGAAGAGAACTGACCTACTGCTCCTGAGAGGGAGAACTAGTAGTATAAAACTGAATTTGAAAGATGGCCCAAATCCAAATCCTAGCTCTATCCCAGATTTTTATATATATATATAAAATCTGTTATTCTTATGGGATAAAAGAACTTGCAGGAGTTCTTCACTGGTTTTGGAGACAGACTCATGTCTCATGGAAGCTGTGAATGTTCTACAGCATATGCTTATGCGTGCACACACACACTCTTTCTCCTTCTTTCACAACTGAACACAAACATGTATGGTGCTGCTTTGGAGGCACACAACTGCCAGATGCTGACCTATAATCTCTCTATTAAAGGCAGAGGTGAGGTTAGGTAGAAGGACATACCATAGGCTTCCTCAATGAGGCCACAGTAGGGATTGACCCCTGAGCCACTCCGCTTGCTCTCTTGCTCTCCAAGCCGCAGGATGTTCTCTAGTCCATTGAGGGCCACTTGTACAATCTTTGAATCCATTACGGTCAGCAAGTCACACAAGGGTTTGATGCAGCCCAGTGACACCAGGTACCTGGGGGCCAGAGACAAGGCAAATTCTAACTTAATGCAGAGTAAGTTAGAGCTGGGCAGATGTTTTGTTTGTAGGTCTCCCTCACAAGCCAACACTCCCAGCAATCTACTCTTACTGAGTCTGTATTTGAGAAATACAGGTTGGTTCCGTACTTATTATGTAGCCCAGGCTGCCTTCAATCTTGCGGAGATCCTCCTGCTTGATCTCTCCAGTTCTAAGATGATAGGCACGCACCACCCCATGCCTGGCCCTTACTGGGTCTTGATAACTACCATTCTTTCCCTCAAACTCTCCACTCTTCTTCTGCCATCAATCTAGTTTATTTCACATGACGATGCCACCACAGATTCTTCCTTCTCACCCCTGAAGTTGCACTGGCTACAATATTACCACTGTGAACACTTTTCCCTGTTTAAAACTTCTCACATGTTCCCTATTTCCCCAAGTCCAAGATCTATGGGATAATACAGACTCTACACCCCTAACCTTTAGGTCTTTTTCTAGCTCTGCCTTCTGCTCCCTTCTAAGGAGATGACATTGCAGTCACACCTGTAAAGGTCTGAATATTCCTTCTGGAGCCCCAGCTCCCTGTCTTCCTCTGCAGTGTTAGGGACTGAATCCCAGTTTCCTGCTTATTAGTGAAGTGTTCCATCGCGAAGCTACAGCCTAAGCATTTTTTTTTTTTAAATTTTGAGACAGGGTCTACGTTGCTCAAGTGGGGCTCAAACTTGGAATTCTCCTACTTTGATCTTCTGAGTAGCTGAGATTATAGGAGTGTGTATCTGCCCAGCAGGTCTCCAGATTTCTTATTCTTGTACCTTTACTTATATCTTGCTCTTATCTAAAAAGTTTTTAGACAGAATCCTGTATTTATTCTTTAATGCTCAACTCAATGCCTATCCCTTTTGTTTTAAGGTTTTATATCTACTGAGTGTACTTCCTTGAGCAGGTCATAGGAGAGGGCAAGACATCCAAATTCCACTACTCCAGTTAAGATTCAGATAATGGAAATTAAAATAAAAAAGAGTGTCATGTGCACAGAGACACAAACACAACAACTTTCTATTTGCTTCTCTTAAGACTCATCTGCTGGTGAGCGTGGGGGCACATGCCTAATATCCCAGCACTCAAGAGGCTGAGACAGGAGGATCACCAAGAGTGGAGGCCAGCCTGGGCTACACAGGGAGTTCAAGGCTAGCCTAGACTACACTGTAAGACCCTGTCTCAAAAAACAATAACGAAAAGACTCACTTTCAAAGATTATTTCTCAGCTGGGCATGGTGGCGCGTGCCTATAATCCTAGCTCATGGGAGACTGAGGCAGGAAGATCACTGCAAGTCTGAGGCCAGTCTGGGCTACATAGTGAGTTCAAGACCAGTCTGGACAACATAGTGAGACCCTGTCTCAAAAAAACAAACAAACAAAAAAACCCCAAACCAAAAACACTGGGAGAAAAAACAACAAAACCCCAAAGAAGCTGCATTGATGAATCCAAAGCATGGCTATTCATGTGTATGACTAGCTGAGAATTCCACAGATTTCTGTTCTTTGGGGGCTAGGAAGAGGAACAGGTAGAGAAAGGATGGTATCTGTGCCATAGGTTTTTATCTGGCAGGGAAGAGCAGTATCACACATTACGATCTTTAGCATCTATTCCAGATTCTATCACTGTAACAGCTTACCCATTAAGTCCTGTTGTAGCTGGATTAGGGGACGGACCTATCCCAGCAAAAGCAGTTTACGTAAACTATGAACAGAGGAGAGCACACATATTCAAGTCAACGGGAAAGGAATGTAATACCTAATCTGCTCAGGGGTTCCTCCTGATGTGGCATTGGTGATGGCCCAGGCTGCTTCTTTTCTTGTACGGAACTCTGCTTTCTGAAGGATTTCAATCAACACAGGGAAGATATTTGCATCTATGACAGCCTGAGATAGGATTAAGGAGAGGGAGGAGAGAGAGTCACTTGATAAGAGAAAGCAAATCCAACTCAAAAATCAGCTAAGATTGAGACACCTTCCCCAACCTGGGAATTCTCCTTTGTTCTTCCCATACAGGTAACTGGCTACAGAGGAATGCAGCTTCCAATAAACAGAATCTCTGAACAAAACACACACACACACACACATATATACATTTATATATATATATATATATATATATTTTTTTTTTTTTCAGTGATGGTGCTGGGGATTGAAGGCAGGGCCTTGTGCATGCTAGGTGGGCACTGTACTAGTGAGCTACACCCTAGCTTCTTGGCTCCAGCTTTTTTTTTTGTCTTTTTGAGGCAGGGTCTCCCTCTGCAGTTCAGGCTGGCCTTGAGTTCATTTTGTAGCTCAGACTAGTCTCAAATTCGCGACGATCCCCCTGCCTCAGCCTCCCAAGTGCTGGGATTACAAGCGTGCGCCACCACGCCCGGCCTTGGCTCCAACTTCTAAAAGGAAACAGATTCTTTTCTCTGAAAGCAAATATCCTACAACCTCTCACGTTCTCATCCCTCCTCACGCTCCTCAGCCTCCATGCTGTTGTACCTGTATTTGAGCCCTGTTGCCAGCAGTGATGTTTGAAATGGTCCAGCAAGCTTCCTTTCGAATTGATTCCTTGGAGCTGCTCAACAAGTGGAGGAGGCAAGGGAGGGCTGAACAGTTAAGAATGACCTACAACAACAAAAGCACAGGAAACAAAAGAAAAATTAGATATCTGGACTTTATCAAAATAAAAAACTGTGGCCTAAGAAGATATGATAAATAAAGAAGTTCAACAGAAAGACAGGAAGTGTTTGCAAAACAAGTATCTAGGGTTCGGGATGGAGCTCATTTGTAGAGGGCGTGCTGCCCAGCATGCCTGAAGGCCTGTGTTCAATCCTCAATATTGACAAAAAGGAAAAAAATGTATCTAATAAGAGGTTAATATCTAGAATATATGAAGAAATTCTACAACTAAACAATAAAAACGCTCCTAAACAACCCATATAAAAATTGAGCATGTGCTTGCTTTGGCAGCACATATACTAAAAAATGAGCAAAAGGGCTGGGAATTTAGTTCAGTAGAGTACTTGTGTAGCATGTGTGAGGTCCTGGGTTCAATTCCCAGTACCATACCAAAAAAGGAAAACAGGACCCAAATAGGCATTTCTCTGAGAAGTATATAATCCGAGATATATAGATAGCTAATAAACACACAAAAAGATGCTTAACATCACTAGTCATAAGGGAAATGCAAATAAATAACACAATGTGGTATTATTTCATAGCCAGTAGGATGGCTGTTACTGCCTTATTACCTAGTAATTCTACTTCTGTTCTGTACCCAGAGGAAGTTGAAGCAGGGACTTAAAAAAATAGTTGTATAGCAACGTTCACAGCATTACTGGGATTTAGCTCAGTAGCACAGCGTGCCTGCCTGGCAAGCGCAAGGTCATGAGTTCAATTCCCCGGTACCGGAAAAAAAACAGTAGCATTACTTAAAACAGTTAAAAGGCAGAAACAAGCTAAACGTCCACAGGCAATGGATGAATGACTTGAAAAAGACAGCCTATACCTACACGAATTTTTCAACCTTGAAAATGAAGGAAGGATATTCTGACACATGCTGCCATATTTCCCTGAAAGTAATACCTAACCAGAAAATAAGCTGTAGCATGATTTTTTGAGGATGCTCATAGTATAAGCCCTATCCCAAAAATAAGTCCTAGTTACTATCATCAGTCAGATGACACATTAGTATGCCTGCTGCAACACACAATGGATGTACTGAAGATAAGAGACATTATATTTAGGTATCTGTAAGTACCCAAGTGGGTACCTTTGGACAAGAAGTAAACATCTATGTAAACAGATGAACTTGAGACATTGCTCAATGACCAATCGGAGTACAGACATAATGCCTGAATAACATATGCACTTAATAATGAATGGATGTGGTCTAATGTGAATCTTCATAATTCAATACATCATGTACTATAATAAATGTACTAATGCATTTTTGTGAAATAGAGAAACATTTTCTGAATTTTGGTGACTGAAATATTTTTTACTTTTGTGTGGCCCATCATTCTTTTTTTTTTTCCAGATAGGGTCTTGCTATGTAGTTCAGATTGGTCTTGAACTCCCTGGGTAGCCCAGGCTTGCCTCAAACTTGTGGTGATCTTTCTGCTTCAGCCTCCTGAGCGCTAGGATTACAGGCATGCACCACCACAATTGGCAGGCCATCCTTCTTAACTGTCTTCATCTTTGTTGCCACTCCTGACTTGCAGGTCTTTGACTGACACTTGATTTGATGGAAATTTTGTGAATCCCAGCCCTCAGAGAGATTGTGACCCGGGTGAAGGCTTCATGGGATAAACTCACTGACAGCCGTGTGCCCATGCACTATGAGCTGGCTCCATGGACAGGAAGGGCTCATTTAAGTGAGTTCTATTGCTGGATATGAAAGATTGAGGCCAATGGTTCCACAGGAAACGGAGTCACAAGAAATTTAGGCTGAAATTCAGGGTTTGAAGAGTTATCACGATGTTCCAGAAGACAACATGAATGTATTTGAATAAAAGTAGATTTTTACACATGAATAAATCTAAATTGGAACGGGGCATGGTGGCACATGCTTGCAACCCTAGTACTTGGGAGGCTGAGGCAGGAAGAATACTGGGAGTTGGAGGTCAGTTTGGGCTACATAGTGAGTTCAAGGGCAGCCTGACTATATTACATAGTGAGATCCTGTCTCAAAAAAACAAGTAAATTTTTGTACATGGAAAAAGGAAGACATCCCCTGAAAATAAGCCCTATTGCATATTTTGGAGCAAAAATTAATATAAGATCTAGTCTTATTTTGGGGGAAATATGGTAGCACATATTCTTGAAGATATTATGCTCAGTGAAATAAGCCAGATGCAAAAGGACAAATAGTATTTGACTCTACTTATATAAGGTAGCCAGAACATTCAAATGCAGAAAGTACAATGGTGATCACTAGGGACTTGGAGAGAAGAGAATTACATTTCTTGTTGTTTTTTTTGTTTTTTGTTTTTCTTCAGCTACCAGGAATTGAACTCATGACCATGCGCTTGCCAGGCAGGTGCTTTGCCACTGAGCTAAATCCCCAGCCCCCGAGAATTACATTTCTTAATGTAAAGCTTCTGTCTGGGATCATGAAAAGTCCTGTAGATGGATGGTTGGTAATAGCTGAATAGTTATTATCATTGAATTTTACTTTTTTTTTTTGTACCAGGAATCAAACTCAGGACCTTATACTTGCCAGGCAGGCACTTACGCCACTGAGCTATATCCTTGGCTCCCAAATTTTACATTTTGAAATGGTTAAAAATGGAAAATTTTGTCATTTATTTATTTATTTATTTATTTATTTTTTTGGTCTTTTTGAGGCAGAGTCTTGCTCTGCAGTTCAGGCTGGCCTTGAGCTTACTTTGTAGCTCAGGCTGGTCTCGAGCTTGCGCCGATCCTCCTGCCTCAGCCTCCCAAGTGCTGGGATTACAGGCCTGCGCCAGCACGCCTGGCTGTTTATTTACTGTTTTGAGACAGTCTTATTGGAGTTCAGGCTGGTCCTCACTGAACTCATTATGTAGTCCAGGCTGGCCTCAAACTTGTGGCAATCCTCCTGCCTCACCCTCCCAAATGCTAGGATTACAGGTATATGCCACCACACCTGGCAAACTTGTATTTTATTTTTAAAAATTTTCATTTTATTGGTACATTTTAGATATACTTAGTGATAACAGTCATCACAAAGAATTTACACCTGTACAAGTGTATCTTTTTTCTTGTTTGTTTGTTTTTTTCTGGTACTGGGAATCGAACTCACGACCTTGTGCTTGCCAGGCAGGCACTGTGCCGCTGAGCTAAATCCCCAGCCCCTGTACAAGTATATCTTGCTTCTTTTTTTTCCTCTATTCCCCTCCCCTCCCTTCAGTCCCTCTTCCCCTCTTTATTTACAAAACTTTGTTTCCATTTTTCCTTCTATTCTTTTTTTGTCCCTTCTTTTCTCGCCCACACCCTGTCCCCCTTCTCATTTGAATATTTTCTTCCCATTTTCCAACATCTATTATACATTTTGGTCCTTATTTATCCTTTTGGTTTCTCATACCAGAGAAATGTGGTATTTACACATGTGTGTCCGATTTATTTCACTTAAGAATATGGTCTTAAGGTGCATCCATTTAGCCAGAAATGTCTCAAGCTTACCCTTCTTTATGGCAGAGTAATACTCCATTGACTTACGCAGTATTTTAATGTGCATATGTGCATTCATATGCAAACTCTCACATAAAATGATCTAAAAAATGAGGATGTGAGTTTGAGTGAGCAAGTGCTTACTTGCTGAGGTAGGAGGAGTCCATGAGTTTAAGGTCAACCTGGGTTACACAGCAAGACCCTGCCTCACAAAAGAATTCCACAGAACTATGCCAACTATTCCAAATCTGAAGAATACTCAAGATATCTATAGCCTGTATTTTTATTTTTTATTTTTTTTTATTTTTTTTCCGGTACTGGGAATCAAATTCATGATCTTGGGCTTGCCAGGCAGGTGCTGTGCCACTGAGTTAAATCTCCAGCCCCTATTTTTATTTATTTTATTTTTAAAAATTTTTTTGTCTTTTTGAGGCAGGGTCTCGCTATGTACTTCAGGTTGGCCTTGAGCTCACTTTGTAGCCCAGGCTGGTCTCGAACTCCCAAAGATCCTCCTGCCTCAGCCTCCCAAGTGCTGGGATGCACTTGGGCGTGCACCACCACGCCCGGCTCTATAGCCTTTAAACAGAAGGTACTTCTCCTGTTTACCTCACTGGAGAAGTACTTTCATTTTATTATTCTTACTTTTGATATGGGATCTCTCTATATTTCCCAGGCTGGTTTCAAACTCCTAGGCTCAAGAGATTCTTGTTTCAAGCTGGACGTGGTGGTGCACACCTATAATCCCAGCACTCAGGAGGCTGAGGCAGGAGGACTGTTGTGAGTTCAAGACCAGCTTGGGCTACAAAGTGAGCTCAAGGCCAGCCTGAACTGCAGAGCAAGACCCTGTCTCAAAAAAGACCAAAAAAAAAAAAAAAGATAGATTCAGTTTCCACAGTTCATGCCACCATGCCCAGCTGGGAGGGGTTACTGACATGAGATTAACATGTCCATGGGCTTCTAAAGGTCTAGGAAGCAGGTATGGAGTTCCATATCTTTCAGTATTTCAAAAGAATCATGAGTCAGGTTTAACAGCTACCTTATGTTGTCTCTGTAAGTCCAGTTATTCTACTTAAGTTTTCTTTCACAGCACCAAATGGATGATGATTTGTTTCCAATCTGTAGTAGGAACCAAGCTGCCCATAATCATATAGATAAGCTGGAATTTTTTATTTTTTACTAAAGCCCATGCTTTCTGCTAGACTATGCTACTTCCTATCAGGCAGGGAAAGTTTTTGTCCATTGGCAGCTTTCCACAATGCTCTCTCATAGCTGGTCTGAAGTAAGATTCTTCACTTCTCCCTTACCTGTGTCTGGATGTCATCCCCAGTGACGATGTTACCCACAGCTCTCAGAGCGGGAGAAGCCACTTTGTAATCATTGTGCCTGCAGAGGAGGAAGATCTGATCAATGGAAGGTCAGCAGACCATGTTAGGCCTTGCTGACCACCTAGGCTGACAACATTCTCATGGCTCCAAACCTTTGGAAAAGCAAGCAAACTGCGGGCTGCAGCTCTTTGGTGAGAGCTTGGAGAAGCTTAGGGAACCTTTCTCATCTCTACTCACATCAGAAGCTCTACCAATCTCCGGCAGACTCCAGAGTCTATGACCGCCTGGATTTTCTCGTTGGGGCCATCAGACAGGTAAGAGAGAGCCCAGCAAGCATCTGCCAGCAAGTCTGAATCACTGCTGAAGAGCAGGCGAGATAATACAGGCAAACAAGGAGAGACCTGTTGAAAGCAGAGTGAAAAGGATTCACAGTGGATCAGAGGTATATCAGCTCAAAGCCTAACACTGCTACCATCTCTCCAAAAAGTAATTCTTGATCCTGGGATCTTCAATTCTTCACTCTACCATCAGGTATACAAGATCACCTTTTTCACTGACAACTGCCTCTTTCAGCTTCCCATGGCTTGAGGCTCTAAGGAGTATCCAGTTTAAAAATTTCATATGGTGGAATCTACTATCATGCAGGGGCTAGCAAGTAGCTTTCTTACCTTTGCAAACTCTGGAGGTGGGTTCTTCCCTCGGCAAAGGTTTGACAGGGCCCAAACTGCATTTCGTGTCATTGTCAGTCTTGTGGACTTGGTAAGGAGTCTGAAGGAAAAAAGCAAAGCCAGATCCTGTACACTGATGCCCCGGCACAGGGCTGTTGCCACCAAATCCCAGGAAACAAATTCAGTGAGACCCCTAAGACTCTAGAAGCCTCTTTTCCCTACCCATACACCTAAATCAATACAGTAGTTTGGCTGACCTCTGCACATGAGATTAGGACCAACTGTGGCTAGTTAACACCATAGATAATAGAGACAAAACAGACAGCCAGATCTTGAGTAAGCATGCAAAGTTTCTACATACAGGTTGGGGACAAGGAGTAGTGTTCTGTTCGGAAATAAAAACTGAAGGTCTAGCAAGAGGGTGTTACCCATGCAGTACAGAATAATTTTCTTTAAAGGATCTACGAAAGTGAGAATGGCAGCCTATGAGGCTGAGGTCTTTGAAGAAATAGTTCACCACTTTTGCTTTAGATTTACTTTTTCTTGGGGCTGGGGATTTAGCTCAGCGGCAAAGCGCCAGCCTTGCAAGCGCAAGGTCGTGAGTTCGGTTCCCGGTACCGGAGAAAAACCAAAAAAAAAAAAAAAAAAAAAAGATTTACTTTTTCTAAGAATATGGGGTAGGTGAGGGATGAGAGGAGTCTAGATGACCCTTTATGAGGTCTTTGATCCATGATTTACAATAGAACTGCCCAATATAGCTATGCATAATTCCACAACATATCAATGTGTTCTGTAGAGAAGGCTGAATCCTCTCAGACTTGTCCTGCCTTTCTCCCTGCCTCAGAAAGGCAGATATGACCAACACAAAGTTCCATAGCATCATGAGGTGAGGAACAAGATCCTCCTTGACACAGACCCGGGGTACAATATTCTTTCTCTCTCTCTCTTTTTTTTTTTGTCTTTTTGAGACAGGGTCTTGCTAGGCAGTTCAGGCTGGCCTTGAGCTCACTTTGTAGCCCAGGCTGGTCTCGAACTTGCAACGATCCTCCTGCCTCAGGTTCGTGAGTGCTGGGATTACAGGCATGCGCCACCAAGCCCAGCAATATTCTTACTCTCAAAAGGTAATTTTTACTTTGGTGATCAGAACGCACTTCCGCAATTTTTGTATTTATCTATCATCCTCACAAGTCAAGTAAGCTGCTCCCAAATGACTTGTCATATGGCCATGCTATAGATGCCCCAGGTGCCAATGATTGTAATTACTCACGTTAACAAAGGATTAAGGATGGAACAGTTCAGGACGTAATCTCGGCAAACGGAACTGTCTCCAGCTATGTTTCCCAGAGCCCAGACTGCCTGAAAAGGGGATGATGGAACTGTCATCCACAGGACCTGGTAGCTTCTGCGACTACTTTACACAGTACTACAGAGCACCCACCAGGCAAGAGCAACGTCAAGGCCCAGAACACCCTGAACGAGCTCAGGTGACCTCCCTGTGGGAATTCTGCAGACAGGCTGCCTGCCATCTGCACTGCAGCCAGAGAAATCAAATCAGACCTTGGCATCCCTACCTTCCCCGGGAAAGGAGAAAGGAATCACCAAATTGCAATCTTGTAGCCATTCTGGACCAACTGTATACATAGAAATGGAGGAACAATCCCACTACCACTCTTCATTTTTGTTCAACCAGTAATAATTCAATGTAAAAATAGAAATTATAACTTTATGATTTGTGGGTACTGAGAAATGAATATTATGCTGTCTCTTGTTTTCTTTTTTCACTATGTGAAAGACTGGCCTTGAACTCACAATGTAGCCCAGGCTTGCCTTGAACTTGCAGTGATCCTCCTGCCTCAGCCTCCCAAGTGCTGGGATTATAGGCACACACCATCACGGCTGGCAGTGGTGCCTCTTTTCTAACACAGGTAGCACATCCAACAATTCAATTCAATTGTGACACTAAACACAGATGCCACAGATCTGTCTTACAAGACCGTCTCTACTTTGATCACTAATACCAAGCCCCAACAACTGCTTTACTTCTGACCAGCTGTAGCTTTGGGGATTCCTACAGTTCTCTTAGCTTTGATAACTAACTGGAATGACTCAGCAAAGTCAAGAAAACACTATGTATGTGTACTAAGTTTATTATACAGGCTATAACTTAGGAGCAGCCAAACAGGAGAGAGGCACAGGCCAAGGTACAGACGGTGGAGGGGTGGCAGTGTAGAGCTTCCACAATCTCTGCCACCTTCCCAGCACATAGATGTGCTCACCAACATAAAAGTTCTATTTTTTAAAAAGACTTTTTACAACCTAATCTCCAGTCCCCCTTCTCCGACTTTCTGAGGAGGTATGGCTCAGAGTTCCTACCCTCTAATGCTATAGGTGGTCTTTCTGATGACCAAACCCATCTGACGACTACTGACTACTGATAGCCTCTGAGTCACCTTACTACATTCAGATATGTTTCAAAGGAGCTCTATAAATAATGAAAGACAGTCTTATCACTCAGAAGACTCCAGGGGCTTTAAGAATACTATGCCAAGAACTGGGAGAGAGACCAAATACATTATTTGTTATATCATTGGTACCATCAAGAATTAAGCCAAGGGCTGGAGATATAGCTCAGCGGCACAGTGCCTGCTTAGCAAGTGCAAGGTCATGAGTTTGATCCCTGGTACCAAAAAAAAAAAAAAAAGCCAAATCTGAGTGTTACCTGTTCCTGTACATCCTCAAAGTCTGAGTTAAGCAGCTCTATAAAAATCGGGACAGCTCCTGCTTCAATAACAATTCTCGTCTGCTGAGAGGTTCCAGAGGCGATGTTTGTTAGAGCCCAGGCAGCTTCAAACTGAAAGTGAGATTAACGGATAATTGAGAGGTCATTCCAAAATGAGTAGCCATGTCTATCAGTGGTTCAAACAAAGTTCTTGCCAGGTGTGGTGGTGCACGCCAGTAACCTAGCACTCAGCAGGAGGATTGAAAGTTCAAGGCTAGTCTGGACTACCTAGTGAGATCCTTTCTCCAAACACCAAACCAAACCAAACCAGAACAATAACAAACAACGTAGTAAACTTCTTGCCTATGAAGAACAAAACCAGCTAGGCATGATGATGTGTACCTACAACCTCAGTTACATTGTCACAAGTTTGAGGAATTTGGACAATTTTCTGAGAGCCTGTCTGCAAAAGAAGGAGGGTGTAAAAAAAAAGGGGACGTAGCTCCATGGTAAGAGTGCTTGCCTGGATGCACAGGTGCCTGGACTCAATTCCTAGTACTGAAATCAATCAGTCAAACCAAAACCAAACACAAGCGTTTCCCCTCCATGCAGGAAATGATGGGAAGAGCACTGATGTGACACAGTGGGAAGATGGAATTAGACTTCACCAGTCCAGGTCTAGTCCACACTACCAAAGAAACCACGGGTCACTTTTGTATTTCCTGAGCTTTACTTTCTTCATTTCTGAAGCAAAGACAAGAGTGAGATAGACCTCTTAAAGTCTCTTATCAGCCATGTTTCCAGCAAGTTCAAATAGATTTATTTATCATCCATCTTTAAGAAGAGAGAATGATAGAGGCTAATGATTTCCCTTGGTCAAAACAGTAAGTTGAACAGACTCTACTTTATAATGAAATGGTCAGCCTGTCATATTTTTGTATTTTTGTATCTTTCCTTTGTCATTACAAAAAAAGTTGTTTTTGCAGTGGTGGGGATTGAACCTTAGCCTTGTGCATGCTAGGCAAGTGCTCTACTACTGAGCTACACACACACACACACACACACACACACACACATGAACATTTTGATAGATAACACTGTATGATATCATGTGCAACATGATGTTCAAAAGTATATACAGGGCTGGGGATATAGCTCAGCAGCACAGTGCCTGCCTGGCAAGTGCAAGGTCGTGCATTTGATTGCTGGCACCAGATCAAAAAAAAAAAAAGCGCAATGCAAATCTTTTAGGCTGGGCATCGTGGCGCAGGCCTGTAATCCCAGCATTCGGGAGGCTGAGGCAGGAGGATCGTTGCGAGTTCGAGACCAGCCTGGGCTACAAAGTGAGCTCAAGGCCAGCCTGAGCTGTGTAGGGAGACTCTGTCTCCAAAACATACACACACACACAAAAGTATATACATACACTGTGGAACAGTTACACATGACTAATTAACAAAGGCATTCCTCCATATAGTTACTGCTGAGATTCTTTTCAGGAACATATTCTGGCTGTCTTCTTTGAAGTCAAGACTGCTGAGGAAACTGATAGCTTCCCTTAACTATTTCTTCATATTTTTTGTCTATCTCCTGAGAGGTGTGTCTGAGAAACAGCCCACAAAAATTTCTTGGATAAAGTGCTTCTAGCTGGTCATTAGTACAGTACCCTCAGGCTTTACCTGTAACGTACAATTCTCATTCCTCTTCAGAAATTCCACAAACCGGTCAACTACTCCTGGAGTGTTGATAACTTCATCTATTGGAGGACTAGGCTCTGAAAGAGTGAGGTAAAACAGATAAAAAGTCAGGAGAGGCTTTGGTTGATCTATTTACAGAGGAGTCTATAATCCTAATACTTCGTACTTTTTTCTTTTCTTTTCTTTTTGAGACACATAAGACATGTTTTCACCACGCAGTTCAGGCTGGCCTTGAACTTGTAGTAATCCTCCTGCTTCATTCTCCTGAGCACTGGGATTACAGGCGTGTGCCACCACGTCCAATTATGTATTTCTCTTCTAAGAAAGACCAGCAGTGTTGTTTTTTTGGAGTTTTTTGAGCTGGGGTCTTGCTATGTAGTCCAGGATGGCCTCGAACTTGTGACAATCCTCCTGTCTCAGTCTCCTGAGTGCTGGGATTACAGGTATTTGCCACTATACTAGCTATTTTGGTTTTGTGAGACCGGGTCTCACTATAGTTCAGGCTGGCCTTGAACTCCCTATGTAGTCCAGACTGGCCTCTAACTTCAGGCAATCCTCCTGTCTTAGACTCTTGAGTGCTAGGATTACAAATGTGCACCACCATGCCCCAGCAAAAAGATCAGTAGTTTTTTCTTGGAAGCATACTGAGGCAAGAGGTATTTTTCTTATCACATATCAAATTTTTCTTTCTTTCTTTTCTTTCCTTTTTTTTTTTTTTTTTTTTTTTTTTT